AAAAAAAAAAAAAAAAAAAAAAGAGTATTATTAATATAATAAAATATAATAAAAATAGTAAGAGAATTTATCTTAAAGAATTTGTATACTTTGATAAAGCACTGATTAAGTCTGGCAGCCAATGCCGAGGTCATCGTCAATGCGACGACTTCCCACTTCTTAACTCGGTTCTGTGCCATCTGCGTTTTTATTTTCTCATTCGCTTTTTCTTATTTATATTCTCGCGCATTCGCGTTACTCGAGCATAGCAGAAATAGATTGTTTTTTCTTAGCAATAGCATTGAGCAATGCCAATGACAATGACAATGGAAATCGTGTCAAAGATATTTGTAAACGTTATCTCACTGATCTATCAACAGACAAGTTCTTGAAGCTTGCCGTTTTCTAAAGCGCCCGAAACATGCTTCTTTTTCTGATTCGGGGTGAATTTTTACAGAGAAGAGGTTCAATCTTGCAAATCTATCGACGCGTGATTCAATCGATAAATCGATATGTATCGCGCCGAGACGATACTCCAAGTGGGCTACGAGTCTCTAGAGTCGATCGGCAGGTATTTCACGTGATAGGCCACGACTTGATTTTCGCGAATGATATTCGTACAATTATTGATTACCGATTTATCCATCAGATCCATCTTTGCACGCGTTCGATTACGAGATTACCTTAAGCATGCACGAAAGCTCATGACAGATAATGATTACTGTTTCAGGATATCGTATACCTGTCATCGCCTATTTTAGATATCAATATCAATACAGACAGTTTGATCGATTGGTAAGAAGATATTATAAAATGCGCGTGGCTGTCACACGATTCGTTACGGCAGGAAAACAATCCATTGTCAACGACAACAATGAATCCATTGTTATCCCGTGTTAGACATATTATGAGGTATAGATATACACTAAGCAGCTACTGTCTATTTCCGGTGATATCGAAAGAGAGTGAATATCGATCCAGGAAGCGCAACGACAAATGGCAAAGTGTCCCTCGATCGACTTGCGGGTTAGCAACAAGCACCGGTGCGAAAGAAACGCAGGAGTCAGCAGTCAGTAAATAAGCAAGCGTCGGCGCTCGTCTCGAGCAATTCCGCAAGTGTAGTAGCCAGTGACGAAAAGCGGCGGTGCATCGTTTCGGATCGCTCCTACGGCACAGATAGCGTCGATTGCGTAAACATTAGCTGTGCCGCGACGATGCGTCCCGTAAGCGTGACCGCGCACAATCAGGATTACCTTAGGGCAGTGTAAGCAAACGCCGCGACGAACTCGGTAGACCCGACGAATCCACGGCTGAGCGACGTTTCTGTGTCACGAGGAACTCACAGACGCCTCTGTATATATTTATATACATATTAATGATAGGAAAGAAGTAGAACCGAGATGTATGCGATGGCAGAAGCGATGCGAGACCCTTGGAGTTGCCTGGAGCTTTATGCGATATGCTCGGCTGGGAGG